CAACGCCCACGTCCACAACCGAGCTCCGCGGGTTTTTGGGTCTCACCGGATACTACCGCAAGTTTGTGAAGGGTTACGGCTTGATTGCTCGGCCCTTGACCAATCTCCTCAAGAAAGGCCAGTTCGACTGGACCGACGAGGCTACTGCGGCATTCCTGGCTCTCAAAACAGCCATGACCACGACCCCGGTGTTGGCGATGCCCAATTTTGACGCGCCTTTCATCATCGAAACAGACGCGTCAGGCTCGGGCCTTGGAGCTATCCTAATGCAATCGGACCGGCCCATTGCCTTCATGAGTTGGGCCTTAGGCAAGGCCAAGCAGACCCTCTCCACCTACGCCAAGGAAATGCTAGCCATCATCACCGCAATTCAAACCTGGCGGCCGTACATCTTGGGTCGAAAGTTTGTGATTCGCACGGACCAGAAAAGCCTGAAGCACCTGCTCAACCAGCGAATTACCACGCCCGAACAGCAACAATGGGTCTCCAAGCTATTGGGCTATGACTACGAAATCGTCTACAAGCCCGGCAAGGATAACCAGGCCGCCGATTCACTCAGCCGCCGCCCTCCTGCTCCAGAACTGCTCGCAATTTCCATCCCTCACACGTCTCTCTGGGAGTCCATCAAGTCGACGACACTATCGCATCCTTATATGCAGAGGGTTTTGGCACGAGCGAAATCTCCCAACCCCGGCCATTATTCGATTCGCAACGAGATGGCCTGCTACCGCCGTCGAGTCATCATCCCTCCCGGTTCGCCGCACGTCCGCGAGTTGCTCGAGGAATTCCACTCGACCCCTGCTGGCGGCCACTCCGGCGTCACTGCCACTTACCGGCGGCTGTCTTCCCAGTTTTTCTGGCCCGGCATGCTGCGAGACGTGCGCTCCTTCGTCAACGCGTGCGACATCTGTCAACGTGCAAAGGCCTCGCACTTATCCCCCGCCGGCCTCATGCAGCCGCTGCCGATTCCTCAGGAGGTTTGGGAGGACATCTCTCTCGATTTCGTCAATGGGTTGCCAAGTTCGGGCGGGAAGACGGTGATTTTGGTGGTCGTGGATCGCCTAACAAAATATGTGCAGTTCTTAGCCCTATCGCACCCCTACACGGCGCGTTCGGTGGCCGACAACTTCATCGCCGGCATCGTTCGTCTCCATGGCTTGCCGCGCTCCATCGTGAGTGATCGCGATGCGGTATTTATGAGTCATTTTTGGCAGGAGCTTCATCGTCAATCCGGCACCACTCTCAGCATGTCTTCCTCCTACCATCCCCAGACTGACGGCCAAACGGAGGTCGTGAATCGTTGCGTCGAACAATATCTCCGCTGTTTCACCCATCAGCAGCCGAAGAGGTGGCTCACGTCACTCCCATGGGCCGAGTTCTGGTACAATACTTCTTTCCATAGTTCTGCTGGTATGTCGCCCTTCCAGGCTCTGTACGGGCGTCTTCCTCCTGCTATTCCATCCTACCGTCCAGGCGCAACTATGGTGCATGAAGTGGATCGTGCCCTCCTCGATCGGAATGAAGTCCTCGATGAGTTGAAGATGAACCTCGCTGCTGCCCAGAATCGCATGAAGCAAAATGTTGATGCTCACCGCCGTGAGGTCCTGTTTGCGGTGGGCGAGTGGGTTTACTTGAAGCTCCACCCATACCGCCAACACACGGTCTTCCGTCGCGCATCCCAAAAGCTCTCATGTCGTTACTACGGGCCTTACATGATCACCGAACGAGTTGGGTCAGTTGCCTATCGTCTCGGCCTTCCTCCAGGCAGTCGGGTGCATCCGGTTTTCCATGTCTCACTCCTCCGCCGCTGCCTCAGCCCTCCCCAGCTGCACCGCCTGCTGCTCCTCCAATCGGCGATGACGGATCTCTACTTCTGCACCCGGAGGCCATTCTTGACACCCGCTGGACCAAGCGCGGTTCCCGCTTCGTCGAAGAGCTGCTGGTCAAATGGCACGCCTTGCCTGCTGATGACGCAACGTGGGAGCTCGCTTCCGAGTTCCATGATCGCTTCATTCATCTCGGCCTTGAGGACAATGCCGTTGCTTCAGGGGGTGGTAATGATACGCGCCCACAGCCCAGCAGCAGTTATCGCCATTCAGCTCGGATTCCTCGGCCCAACAAGCGCTACCGCGAGTACGTGGAGTAGTCCAGCCCAGTAGCCCAGCTCGTCGCCGCAAGCTTGCCATTGTTTGTTAGTTGGTTAGGTGTTGATCGAGTCAATAGGTTTCCGTTGTGAGTCTTTTGAATTCAATAATCTGTTCCACCTTAAGTGGAGTAGGAGTAGCTTCTGTACGTGGAAGTAGTTCCACTTTTCCTTTCATTCTCTTAGTATATTTAGGTTGTGAGTCAAGAAATAAAAGGCAAGCAATTATTCAGTAAAAGAACCCTCTTGGTTGTTCTAGCCAAGAAAGTAGAACTCTGGCCTACTCCTGCCAAGAAAAGGGAGAATTATCTCGATACAACTTTTCACCGTATCACTTGCTCCCACACTTCTTACTCCTCTTTCATTGCTTCTCTTTCCACTTCTTGTTAAGACCCAATCATATCCTTTGAGAGCCATATCACCGCTCTCTTCCCTTGCTTCTTGTCCTCAAGGATCACCTCGATCAACTTATAAAGCTTCGCTTCAAGTGGAGCACTTGCTCCCACACTTCTTACTCCTCTTTCATTGCTTCTCTTTCCACTTCTTGTCAAGCCCCAATCATATCCTTTGAGAGCCATATCTTCAAGCAATTCAGTGACTTGAGGAGGGTCATCAATGAGGATCTTGTCATCTTGAATGAGTCCTCCATAGAAAGTTTATATCCGAAATTTCTCCTCGAATCCATGGTGAGGGCAGTGGAGGAAATAGTCGGAGAACCTTTCCCATGCATCTCTCAATGTCTCATCCTCCTCTTGCTCAAAGTGAGTGATCTTCTTCCTCCACTCGGCCGTCTTGGAAGGAGGACAGTATTGGGTCATGAACTTGTTGAGGAGATCGCCCCAATAGATGATGGATAGAGTCGGACGGTTGTTGAACCATCAGAGTGCCATCCCGCCAAAGAATAGGGGAAAGCTTCAATCTCAATGCCTCCTCGGGGACGCCATTAATCTTCAAGCTTCTCGCTAGCTCAAGAAACCTTTGGACATTCTCTCGTGGTGATTCATGGAATAGCCCGTGGAATTAAGCATTTTGTTGAATCATCGTCACGAGAGAGAGGGATTGATGATCTCAAAGTTGTTGGCGGCCACGGGTGGATGGAAGATGGGAGATTGGATATCCGCCGCCCGTGGAGCCATGTAATTGCCCATAGTCCTTCGCCCTTCCTCGGCTTCCGCTTCTCCATTTGGGTTTGGAAGAGGATTAGCCCCTCGGTGTTGATTTGCTGCCATCTCAACTACAACTCCTTCTTCAATTGCTTCAACTTCGGGACCAACTTGTTTTCCCTTTCTTCACTTCTCCTTCTTGCCTCCGCTTGCTACCTCTCTCGAGCTAGAAGTCGGAGGGTCCGGTTGATGTCCTCGTCCAGTGGTGTCAAAGGCGCCGGATTGCTCCGGGTCATGCACCTCCCTACACACACTCAAGTAACACAACACGTCTAGCACAAGAAAACAAGTCACAACTTAACACAACAGAAATTAAAAGCTAGATTAACACCAAACAAACTTTTCATGATAACGGACCGTTGTTTCCCCAACAACGACGCAAGATACTTGACTCGCTCTAACTATCACAATAAAATCCCACCTAAGGTCCAAGTATAAACCTTAGATGGGTGCAATATAGGGCAAGTATGTTTATATATCGACCCGGGATCCATGTACCGCTACTTTGACAGTTTGAAACATTATCTAGCGGATCGGTTTTCGTGAAAACAAAGATTGAAAACTAAATTACTTTGTAAAGGTAAAATGGATATGACTCTAGTTGAAAAAGCTTCACCCGGGTGTTACTCCCCTAAATTACTTTATGAAATGAAAAATTGTTTTAGTTAGGTTTAGAACGAAAAAATTAATTTTGAAAGACTATAGATTATATAAGAATATAATTACTTAGGTCAATGGAGTGGGTTCGGGTTAGTCAGATTTGGGTCAATCGGGTTACGGATTTAACTGGATTGTGGGTCAATTGGATTCGGGTCAGAGTCAGTCGAGTTGCAGGTTGATCGTGTTGCGGATCAATCGAGTTACAGGTCGGGCGAGTTGCGGGTCATTGGCTTTTAATCAATTCGAGTTGCACTCAAGTTACGGGTCGAGTTGATTCTGCTGGGCACCCTTCCACGTTCCACCATTCATTTTTGCCCCCTCGAAGCTCCAACCATTTGGCCAGCCAAAAGTCCCCAACTCATTGTCAATTGGCCATATGCATTTTTGGGAGCTAAAAAAATGTTAGGGTTGGAGTGAGATGATTGGGGTAGGGATGGCAAAAATATCCGTAATTATGGATATCCGCCCGAATTCGGCCTAATGGGTAGGGTAAAACCCAAACCTGAAGAAAATTCAGTAGGTACGGGTAAAATTCGAACCTGAATATTGCGGGTAATGGGTGGGCATGGGTTTCTCACTATCCAACCCGAACCCGCCCGATTATACACATGCATATGTATTTTGTCTAGAAATAATCATTATTTTTCTCTAACATATTTTATATTTTGCATATAAATATAATATTTTCATGAAATTGTGTAGTTTTAATTAATTTTCTTTTTTTTAGTTAATTATTGTCGCACTTTTCCTCTTACGCAATGTGAGAATACGTGTGAATGCTAACATATTGGTTGGAGTTATGGAGATAAATTATTACCCATGGACGGATACCCGAAACCCGAACGGATATGGAAATGGTTTTAATTTTCTATCCATTTCACATGTGGGTATGAGTAAAATCCGCACTACTATGGGTAGGGTAACGGATATGCACTATCCGCGCCCGACCCGGCCAATTGCCTTCTCTAGGGGGGTTTAGATGTTTATGAACCAAATTTACACTAATCTACAACAAATAAGGCTTGCTAACGGTGCGGAAGTCTACAGTGTTTTTTTTTTTTTTTGGTAAAAACTAAAAAGTCTACAGTCTATTAATCAGTGATATCTGTTACAGACTGTTAGTAGCAAGATCATAAACAATGGATTCAGGCATCTACAAAGCACGATAAATTGAAACCCCCCCCCCCCCCCCCCCCCCCCCCCCCCCCCCCCCCCCCCCCCCCCCCCCCCCCCCCCCCCCCCCCCCCCCCCCCCCCCCCCCCCCCCCCCCCCCCCCCCCCCCCCCCCCCCCCCCCCCCCCCCCCCCCCCCCCCCCCCCCCCCCCCCCCCCCCCCCCCCCCCCCCCCCCCCCCCCCCCCCCCCCCCCCCTATCTTCCCCGTATCATTTAGTTTTATACAACACAAATCAATCAAACACATAGCGGAAACGAGATGGGAAATGGTACTCAAAGAAGTGGTGGGGAGGAATTTTATACAAACAAAATTGGCTCTATCCAACCCAACAATTGGAGTGGAGCCAAGATCAACCACAAAGCTGTTGGCACAACCCCTGTATCTGAGAACTACTCGCATCAGGTAATAAGTAAACTCCCGATTTCCCATTGCTCGAGCATGTTAAGTTCAGCTGGGTTCCGGATTGGATGGACTGCAACAATCAGCCGTGAAAATCCATAAGATACTGCCCAAATCTTGTTTCTATAGAATTTCTCAGAATTCTCGACTGAAAGAGTATCAAGTGTCTGAAGTAGTCACTTACCGAGCAAAATGCAGGCTGTGTCTTGCAGCTCCACCTACCGGTAGGAACACAAGACAGATAATGGCACCATGAACAATGTTTGTTTGCATCAACTCCACGCAGAAGTGCAGCAAGGCCAACAGCCAATCTGTCATGTGGTTGCAGATTCATTGATTAGATACTGCCACAAGTAGGCATGATATGGGGAATTCTGAGAGACTCTGGAAGTCCAAATGCTTACCCTGCAACTACCAAGATGAGAGACCCGATCCACAATATGCACTGATATGTCTTGAACTTTGATTTCGGCCTGCCAGGAGCAAACCCAGGTGGCGAATATCTTTGGTTAAACCATCCGTATTGGGGCCGAATCAAAAACACAAATCCGAGGAGAAAACCGGTAATAAATCCTCCAAGATGGGCGAAGTTATCAACATGAGGCAGAATTCCAACTGCTAAATTTATTACAATGATGAGCATGAGTGTGATGAAAGCTGCAACCTGAAACAAATTCATACAGGACTACAAGTCAGCACAAAGAAAGAAACACTACCATCCACAGCAGAAGTTCTAACAGGAGGGGAGCAAACTACCTTATTGGCATAGATTGACCAATTAGTGATGAGTTCAGAAAGCATAGCTCCAAGCAGCCCAAATAGCGCACCGGAAGCACCCACTGAGATGTTCCCTTGGATGAAAAGGGCCGATAACAAACTTCCACCAAATCCAGAGATCACATATAGCAACCCAATCTTTACTGTAAAATTCAAGAAACAAAGCCCTAATTATAAGCTTTGAATGTTTGCACAAGAAGATGTGTTTCCTATACCATTCGTTTTAGCTATCATTGCAGAAGAGGACCAAACTGTGATTCTACCGAATAGATACTGTTGCAGATAGTTATTTAACACTCCCCAATGCGTGACTTTGCTCGAGGATCTAAACATATATATCCACGCTACAACCTTAGTTTTCATTTGTAAATTGTATATGTACCAGTTGAATGATGGAATAACAATAAAGTAGAGAAAGAAATAGAGTTCCAGTCTAGGATTCCCAAGTTACTTCTTCATAATCCAGATTATATGAAAGGGCAAGACATTGGTTTGATACTCCTCCCAACCAAAGTCAAAATTGTGTACAGGCGATGCAACCCAAGCACGAGGCTCTTAAAACTAGTTCGGAGCTCGAATAGCTAACTTATGCAACCAAGAAAAGAATAACCCCAAATCACAACCAAGCAATCTGTGGGTAAAGAAAGAAACATACCAAATCCGAACTCCTGTTCCAAACGAATGCCGATAACTAAAAGACTCAACATATTGGCCAACACATGGAAAAGCCCTCCATGTAACCAATTGCAACTAAGTAGACGCCATCCCTGGTGTTGTTTCACCACTTTGTTTACATCCAGAGCCCCCATCTTCTGCAGCCTAGAGATACACAGAGGAATCAAATTAAAATTGTGCAAAATCAGGCAAACGAATGAGGAATCAAATCAGCAAATTAAGGGAAGACTTACGTGGCGGAGGAAGGACCGAGGAGAGGATTCTCCTTGAAGGGCTGAAATGAGAACCTACCCAGGAAGCGCGCGACGCAAGAGTCGGAGACGGAGTTTTTGGGGCAATTGTTGACGTACATAGTGATGATGAACATAACAATATTGGCGACCACGAAACAAGGGATTAGCCAAGTGACCCATTTCTTGAAATGCTTCACTTCCGTGTAACTTTGGGGCGGATGAGCTGGTTGAGCAGCAGCCGCCGCCGAGTCTGAATTCACGGGGTGTATCGCGCCGTTCCCCCGCCGCGAATTGGTCCTGATCTGAATCTCCGAATGCGGAGGAGGAGGGCCTTTAACCATTGCAGACTGCTGCGGAGGAACGCGGCCGGCGGTTGGAGGAAGAGGACGATGATAAGCTTGAGAGAATGGGACAACGGGAGTTGTTAATAAGGGAGAAAATTGAGGAGAAGCAGTCAGGAAAGGGAAGCGCTGCGGGGCAGTCAACTGTTTTTCACCCACTTTTTACCTGCTTGGAGTTGGAACTTGGTTTTGATTCTTTTGAACCGAACAGCGACAGCGAGCCCACCACCCAGGCCTGGCCTGGGCAAGAGGTTTTCCTTTACTTTGCTTCTCGGGCAGACAAACGTGACAGCAAAGCAATTGATTGCCGACTCCCGCGTAAATTAAAAAGAGAAAACACGAAAAGAAATATTCTTTGTCGATTGACCGTTTACACAAAAATAAGTTGCAGGAAAGGGTGGTTAACTGGTTATGCATTCGGTAAATAGATCCTAGAGCGGGAGCGAGAACAAGAGAGTGTGTGGTTTATAGTGATTTTATATCGAGAGTATGTCGTGAGAGTTATATATTTTTAATTAAATACTAGGGTATAATAGGCCGCGCTCCGCAGCGGCTTGGGATGAGTGTTGGTTATGTTGTTTGGAAGCCCTTCTACCGCAAATTGAGATTTCTTGATCACACGACAATAACTCTTCTTGGACTCTTTGAAGCCTCTCGCTCTATACTATGTGCCTTTTCAACAATCCTAGGCCCGGCTTTTGAAAGTGTTTTTCAGCTTTAAAAGCTAAAACAGGGCCAAACAACTTTAAAAGCTCGACTTTTGTATAACATAAGAGCAGAAACTTCTGCGAAAAACTGTTTTGAAATACAAAATTATTCATGCCATATTTTAATTTTATTTCAGAAAATATAATTTTATTACATTTATATCATTTTAAAAATAAAATAAATTATAAAATCATTTTATTTAATATAAATAAGTCGACCAAGATCCATTTTGACTACATTTTATTGTTTATAATTATTATTCATAATTTATGTTATAAGTCATTTAAAGTCATTTTACACAACCTCTCATATTAAAAAGCACTTCTAATAGTTTTTGCAGCCAAAACTACAGCAAGACCAAACTGACCCAAGTCTAAGTTGAGATTTGTATATTCTTCAAAACCATGCCTCCACAGCAAACCTGAAGTTATTGATGCCACAATTGATAATTTCACTCTGAAATTCTAATTGACCCAGGATTTCAGTTGCTCCAAGTCAAATTTTTCATCCAGAGAAACCACATGGTAAATGACCAAAACAAAAAGGGTAGAATTATACAAAGCGATCATTGATGATGCATTAGCTTTAATAATCACTACATCAAAAACCTTACATTTCCTGACTCAAAATCTTACCTGCATAAGTTTTTTTTTTTTTTTTTTGACAACACAAAGGATCTATCAACTTTCGCCGCCTGAGAAACATTAAGATCCATCAATGTCAAAACCCAAGCCCACATTCATTGCCAAACTCTGGCTTTAGCAAGAGAATATGATGTTTCTATTGCGTACTCCTCTCTGCATATCTGGGTTCCAAACCCACAAACACTTCTCCTTTAATTTCACAAATTGTTCAACGAAAGAGATGGCACCTTGTCTATAACAAATACCACAATTAAACATATGTTATGTAAGAGATCATAAAAGAGATATTCAAACAAATGACAGGTGCACCTTATACCATGAACTTTCAAACATACTGATTAATATTGTGAGCATATTGACTAATTTGGTTTACATACGGACAAAATACCTTACAATACTCAATGAAATTGGTTAAGAGTCAGGGAGTGATTGAATCTTGTGACTTGAGGAAGATTTAACAGGACAGGGATCTCCGTTCATAACCCAAAATTAACAGGGATCTCTTCTTTCTACGAAGACTCCTCCAGCAGTGAGAAATCAAAATCAAAGCCCCTCAAATTCCCTCTACAATAATGAAATCAAATTGCCAGAGTAGGAGATGGGGATGATTTGAGTGTGCGTTAGACTTTTGGGGATCTATCTATCGGCTCTCCTTTTAATCTTATGAGCCCATTAAAAGTGAAATCAAGACCTAAAGGTTGATAGTAAAATACATCATCGTTCACATATACTACTACTGCCAACTCTTCCAAAAGAATACCTTAACCTTGCTCTGCAAACAGCCATCCAACATCCAGTACCTTGGCATCTCGGCATCAGGGCCAGTCACAGTAGGTTATCTTTCTCAAACGTGCTTTTTCCTCTTTATGAGTTAAAAATTGGTCACTTTCAATGGACAGAAGTGGAGAAGAGAAAGGAATTCATGCATACCTGGGCTTTGCTTCACTGAAATCAGACTCTGCGTCTCTGCCACAACGAAACTTCCCTCTTCCAGCTCCCCGGTGTTGCCGTCTCCTCCACCTGCCTCTAAGACTTTCGAACCCACTCGGAGACCATCTCAATCAACCCTACCAATTTCTTCACCATATTTGTTCTTCTTCTCTGCCACACAGCAAAAATGTCGAAAATCACAATTCATATCATACCCAACGCGATTCAATAAGAGAGGGGAGATCGGAACTGGGATTAGCCCTCGTTGATCAAGATGGCGGAGGTGGAGAGCTTGGCGCTCGGCGGCATTCCCCAACCAAGGTCCCTTGCTCCTTCAATGGCGTCAAAGTCAAAGCGTCAACAAACAATGTTTCTGCGCAGACCTCAGCTTCTCACCCCGGCTCTGCATACCAATTTCGCTTCCATAGCGAAATTTTCTTCTCCGCCGACTCTCACTCAAGCTTGACCAAAGATTTTGATTATCAATTCCAATCCAGAGAGATAATGGGAGAAGTCAAAGCCAATTTCCATGATTTACCAATTAGGCAATTACCACCGCAGCGGCCACACGTTGAGGAAGAGTAGGTTGTTAGCCAAGGAAAGTCACCGGTAGCATAAGTTAGCAAAACTCTTATGCTACAGTAACTCCTGGATTATTTCATTCTAATATATTTAAGTTAATATCAAAATTTGTATGTGAATTTCTATTAATTGCTGGTTCCAGCACCCACATGTATATGAGCAACTAACTTCACAGGGTTAATATATGTGTCTGATCCGAACTTTTCACATATTTACATTTTGACCAATCATTTAGGTATTTAGCATCGTAGCCCGAACTAACCCTACACTTTACTAATTTGGCCAAACTGAAGAGTTGATCGTTAGTTTTGACGATCAAGATCGTTGACTAACGGTCAACCCGCCACATCACTACCCAATCAGTATAAATGAACTTAAAAAATTCCTAAATTCCACATAATCCTAAAAATTATTATAATTAAATTAAAAATTAAGACAAAAATTGTGAAAACAAAAATTGAGAAACATAATCATTTATTCTCAACTCTGCATCTCCTTTATATCCAGCGACCACTAGTGCATCCAAATTCCCAAATTGCGCCCCACCACCACTCACCAAACACTCCTACACCTTAGACAAGTTTCAGGTTGGATCCGGTCCTTAAGCCCTCTTTTTTTAGTAGGATCTTAAACTCTTATCAACCAATAAGAGAAGGAGAGAGAAAAAGCGAGGTAATCATTGGCTAACTATATAAAAGGTCAGTATTGGAATTATTTTTACAATTAATGGCATTATTAAAGAATAAAAAAGGGGAATTAAATCTCACGTCCCAAACCAGCGCAATCTTTCCCGATATGGAACCTGCAGTACCTTTTGTGTCTCTCAACTTGTTATTAACACTTTAATGACATGTTAATAACAAGGTTAAATATTTTGAAAGTGTAGTGTATACATGTTAATAACGTTGGTGGAAAACCATAAGACTGAAGGATCCTCTCATTTTCATAGCGTTGTAGTTGCCGGTTAATAAATACAATACTATGGTTAATAATACTAGCGTTATATGTTAATAATGTATGATAATATTGGTTAAAAACGGGTTGAATATTATTAAAATTGTAACTTTAATTTGTTAATAATGGTACCAGAAATATTGACACAAATAAAAACAATAATAGTATTGTGTTGGTCGGGTAATAAAACGAATATTGACATAGCTTTTTGTGTTTGACGACGTGGTTGGAAATTATTACTATCGTTACTATAAAATGTTAATAATCCGATCAAAATCAATGGAGATAGTTGTCAATTTTGAATCCAAACCAAACGTTCCAACTCTAGGTCCACCCATGTGAACTCCTCAAAATTGTAGCTACGATTCACTACCCTGTCACAAAAGGCAACGATATACTTAACCAGTTCCTCTCCATACTCCTTGTACGTTGTTCTGTCCCACTCTTGAGACAAGCTATTCATAAATTGGAATGACTTGTTCTTTAAATCACCACAATAGACAACAAAGTGGTCGTGCATAGAGAGGGAAAATCCACTGCTATATGAATGATTGAGCAAAACATTAATAATGGTTATTAAAAACCTTGATAAAACAAAAAAATTAAAATTACGAATTAATGACATAAATGTTAATAATTAGTTGATATAAATGGTGTTGATAGTGGAAACGTTTATACTAAAAGGTTAATAATAGTACACGTTAATGATACCAATGATTAATAATAGTCCATGTTTAAACAATTGATAATGGCGCTGAAAATAATAATGGCTAAGGAAGGTTATTAATGACAAAAAAACTAATAATATGACACGTTAAGCATACCAATGAGTTGTAATATCACACGTTACAAAAAGTTGATTACGACTTGAAAATAATAATAATAATAATAATAATAATAATAATAATAGGCAAAGAAACGTTGATAATGGCCATAGACTAATTAATAGTACACTTTCAAAAGATTACTAATCAGTTTTGTTAATGTTGCAAACAATTACGACCATAAAAAAGTAAATAACGCAAAACAACGTAATTAAAAACGAATCCAATAACCTTAACAACAACAAAAACAATTAACAAATAACGGCAAAACCCTAAAACCCATGCATCCAAACCCCAAACACATGATGTTGGATCGTCGAGCGCGAGACGTTCAGCTCTCTTATCCGATGCTCTCCCCTTTCTGCCAAACCCTAATCGCTCAGACTCCGATCAAGTGAAAGAAATCAAGTGATGAAAATGTTATAGAATAAAATGAAGGTAAATTTGGGTTTTAGTTGCTTTAAACGTGAGATGGAGAAAAGAATAACCCAAGATGAGCTTTAAGCCTAGTGTAGTG